TGATGCAAATCTTTGATTAATACCAAAGGTCTCAAAAGGTGTTTCTGAGGACGCTAGTCTGTTTATTATATGGAATTTCTTTAACTGCATGTTTAGGCAGCAGGAAATTTCGGCCTTTTTCTGAAAGATATTGTTAATTCCAGGACCAAAATTCACAGGAAGAACAAAAGAATCATCATTTGAAAAAGAACAAAAAGAATTAAAGAAAAAATCAAATTAAATAGCATATCAGTCAAAGAAAGAAGTGCCAATCCTCCATGGTTTACATAACTGGCTACTGTGCAAAAAAAAAAAAAAAAAGACAAAGAATAAAGGTCAGCAGCAATGTAAGGAATGTCTTGAAGAGAACATGGGGGACAAATATGACGCTAACCTAGTTCGTACTTGTATAATGATTGATGAAATGTTGAACCATGGGGTTATAGACTGATCAGTTAGCATGAATATTTGGCCTGAAATCTACTGGTTTGTTTCTTGTAAGGTAGACAGAAGGAGAATGATAAATCTTCAAGAAAAGTAAGTTTTAAGAAGATTTTTTATCTTGGGTCTAACTGAATTCAAATGTTGGTCATAAAGCCCAAACCAAATTCCCTGTGAAAGTTGTTGCGTGACACCGTGTGTATGTGTGCATGGTCGTACAGACCCGTTGACTTCACAGGTGGACATGCCAATAAAATATGTTCCCCTGTAACTGCCCCATACAGCAAGAGTTCTGAGGTAACATCAAAGGAGAGATCTGTCATTAAACAGGTATGCCTTGACCACTATGCAATTACCTGTGTGATGTTACGGCATGGCAGTCCTATTCTGGCCAGAGAGTGGACAATAGGAAGCCAGGTAGTGGACAATGGGCAGGTGACATCACGGGGCTATTAATGGTCAAATCACGGGGCTATTAATTTGGTGGAAGTGCAAAGTAAAGCCTTTTAATGGGGAGGTAGTTTGCTGGTCAAGTTAATAGGGGAAGTTGTTAAGTACAGGTGAGTGACCAGTGCCATTGGTTCTTACTTTATGGGGCATTTTAAACTGGATATGGCAGGGGAAACATGGTCAAAAGATGGAGTAGTTATATAGCTTGAGGGTTTTTCTTTGAAAAGTGTTGAATATAACATTAAACAACTGCAAGTTCTAGAGTAAGTTATTAGCTGGACTTTTTACAGGTAAACATTTAAAGAAGGATCTGCCTCATTAGTACTCTCTCTCTCTCTCTCTCTCTCTCTCTCGTTTATCTAGAGAAAATAACATTCTTGGCAAAAGTACTACTGAATTGAACAAGCATTGGATTTGGGTAAGGAGAAAATCTGAAGTTATAGACAGTGTTGAGTTTGTCAATTGCCTCAAATCTTTGTTATTTTCTTAATATAATTCTGTATTAAGGCAGTTGCGAGTCTTAAAGTGTATATACATCAAAGAGTAGGTGATATAAAACTCTTTCCATCCAGGGTGCTTTGAAAGTTTCTAATTATTCAAACCTTGTCAGCAATGATTCAGTTTGCTAGACTTTCAGGTATTTCTGCAATTGTTGTTTTATGAGGTGTAAAATCCTCCTCAAACAAAGCCCAGGTTATGCAGGATTGCTGTAATAGTTCGGAAATTCCACTGACTTTAACCTTGCTTTAACATTTATGGTAAAAAGATTGACTGCCAGGCATTTTAATAGGGCACCACATTAACCATCTCCAAATAGTTTTTGCATGCAGAGAGAAATTACAGCTTTATTAAATACACTTGACATTTTTATACCTAGGAGAGGATCATAAATTTTCCTTGGTTCAACTAGAGTGAATTTTAAGGTTGGATAAGAAGAGTTTGGTCTGCATTTCCACACAACAATACTCTTTTATATCATTGTGTAATCTATACCAGTGCTTGCAGACTCGACGACTGCTGTTGAATTAATTTAGAAGTCCTTAGCATAACAAATTGTAAAACCTAGGCACTTTACGCAATCCTGTATGCGTTAAGTTGTTTGCCTGGGTCTAGCTAACATCAGAGTGTTGTTTTTCCATTTAAAAACTTTGGGATAAACATAGAAATACCCAGGTATTGCCAATTTTCTGAACTTCCCTGATTTTCTGTCTGGAGTTTCAGATTCATAGCGAGTTTTTTGCATGAGTTGCACCATGTCTTCCTTCCCTCTTATTGTAGATCTTAACTCCACCGGGAGCATGCTAGAATTAACGCTGTTTATATTTGACATAAACACATCTAGAAGTAATGGGTCTTAATAGTCGATAAAACACATTATTTGTGTTATTAAATAGAAGTGTGCCCCTGAAGAAACTGAACCTGGGTTGTTGCATTGGTCATGTACACAGTTTGCACCTAGAGACCCAGTTGTGTACAAACATGCTTAACCTTTTGGGATTGAGGGGAGGAAAATCTGAGGATCCTTTTTCCCCAACAGGAGAATCAAACGAGCTGGGCTTGAGGTTTACCCATGACGTATCCTTTTACCTTTTGAGTTACGGGGTGCATTTTTCTGCAGGCCACTTGAATTTGTTTGCACAGTGTGGCTTTAATAAAACAGTCAGGTATTCTTCTTTTTCTACCCTCGCCCCCCCCCCCCCTCCCTCCCCATGCCAGTTGATATTAGGGTCCTGTCCTGTCCTGTCCTGTTTGAGTGAAGCCTCTGGGGGTACGGCTGTGGTTAGGAGTAAACCCCATTTTGCTTGTATTTTCTGTATGATGCGGCACTATGTTCCTGGTCCTATTCTATCTCTCTCAGATTGATGATGACAGAGTTCTGTGTATTTTTTAGACCACTGTTCATTTGATATAGAAACAACATACCACAGGGTGTGAATATGGCCATCAGTCCCAATTTCTCTCTCTCTCTATCTCCCTCTCTCTCTCTCTCTCTCTCTCACAAAAGGGGCCATTTTAGAACATATGACACATCTCAAACTGAGAAATAAACAATCCACACAAGTATGAACTATTGGCAGCTGACTTTTCCTGTTTGACTTAGCAAAAAGTTGTTATTTTTCTATAAATTTAGCTATCAAAACCAATTTCTCATTTGGGTAAGATAATATCAAACTGATTTTCAATATAAACAGCCTGCGGGGAGCCTCTGCCAGGACACATTATGAAATAGGAAGGGATGTATCATCAGGGCCCTCGGAGCAGAAATAGAACCTTCATTTCCAAAATCTCTTATCAAAATAGAACCCAGATCTGGCCTTTCCAGATTTGTGTGACGTCCCAGTGCATTACCATGATGGCTGCAAATAGGTGGAAGTTTCTCCTACTAGGGAAACAGGACTTATATCTGAGAGGGTTCATAATCAGATTAGCCTCATGTTTAATTTAAAACTAAGCTCTCAATTGTTTTTGAAGTAGGAATCTGTGGACCCCAAGTGCTCTGTTTCAAGAACATTTGCATTAATACAGATGTACCCCTGGTATGTTCTGTAGAAGTCTCATTGACATAGCTGATTATTACAAAAACAAGGGTAAAGTTGTTTGCTCTCTTTGTTATGTTATACCCAGCAGTAATGCAGGCAAATACATTAAAATCCCCCAAGACTTAGGTTAATTATCTTAAGAATTTGTTCTGAACTAAGTGGCCTCTTCTCTCACAAATTCAACCAATTGTGTATTAACATATTCCCTGTGTTATTTTAGAATCAGAATGGATTTATTGGACAGAATACCAAATCTCCAAAGTGGATTTGTAATCTCTTAAATAAATTTCTCAGTTGATGGTGAATGAATTTCGGAGTGTGTGCATGAGAGAGAGAGAGAGAGAGAGAGAGAGAGAGAGAGAGAGAGAGAGAGAGAGAGAGAGATGATCTACCATTGGGCATGTTGGTATAAGAAAACAATGTCAAAGGGGCCACATGTTGCTTTTGTACTGGTTGATTTCTTATTGATTTAATGAGTTTTGATGTGGGCATTGATCAGCATATATGAGGTGAGACATCAAAGGGAAATAACCGGGGATAACAATGGGTCAATCTTTCCCTCGGGTCACCCCCAGGTGCTCACAGTGAGACTGACCTGCTATAATTGCCTTGGTAACCTCTGCTCCAAATTTTTGGGGAGAAAAGAGAGAAACAAAATATTTCAAAGAAATCTTATGGGTGTTGATTAGTTTATTTTCTTCTCTTTTGAAATACTTTTGAAAATCATTCTCAGTAGCTGTAAAATAGTACTTGGTGAGTAGAAGAGGGTGAAACATAGCTGACGCGCATTCCTTTCCTTTCAAGTGAGATTGCACAATGTAGAATGCTCCATATTTGTTCAAGTAAAAGAACATACCACTGATTAAAAACAGGGTGTTTGCTCCTAACAGCTAGTTGCAACAATTACTCAATAGTTTGTTTCCAATTTACTTCAGCAGTTTAAAATGCTTTACCAGGTGTACACTGCAGCAAACATTGCAAAAAACATCTGAACCCCAAAAATGGCTATTAACTGAGCTGCTACATTTCTATCCATTTTCCCCCCGTCTTTCAACTTCATCATCTTCTATGCTGAACAAGATGAGAACAGGAATGGCAGCTTATGCCATGTTAGACCATGTTCTCAACAAATCGACTGATCGTATCAATATAGAGGACCTATGGACAAAGTATCCAGTTCTTCTTAGTGCCTTGACCCAAGCCTCTTCCTAATGGAAAGCTGAACAGGCACCAATTTTGATCATGGGGCAGATAATTTGACAGTAGCCCAACTGAAAGGCAAGATTACATGGAGGAATTTTGCCTCAATCTAAACAAAACTTGGCTGGCCACGACTGCTTGTCCAAACACACAAACAAGATGGGTCTATTCAGGGGCTTTGTCCCGTATTGTTAGTCCAGGCTTAAAGCGGGGATTGTACTCCATCGTAGTGCATGTTTTGATGGGCGCTGTGTATGTGTAATACAAAGTGACCCTGCGACCTTTAGGTCTATAATTTAACATGGTGGAGTATTGTGCTCTGTGAGGCTGGGGCCCTGCGGGTTACCATTGGACGCTGATTAACAGTCATTTTTCAACCAGGTGAATTGATTGGCTGTAAGGCGTAGAGAGGGATTGACAGGCCTGCCTGCTCAGGTGGAGGGGGTGGAATGAGTTCAGAGAGACTAGGGTTTCTCATAAGGAGAATTTGATGTGGAGAATATTGGATGTGAGTCTCAGCAGGAAAATAAGTCTCATAGGAACTCTACGGGAACACATCCTTTGGGCAGTGTGTCATGTTGGAGCAGTGTACACCAGACTTGTATTGAAACAATCAATGTCTGATTGGTTTTAAAAGTGTGGTACATTGGATTCATTAGAACTACAAGCAGAGGAAGAGATTATATCTGGTTATTGGTTTTTACAAATCCAGCTTAATTCAGGTGGATTTGGTCCGAGGTATTGGAATTTACTTACTACCAACTGGATTTGGAAATTTACTGAGGATATATGCCTGGCTTTCCTACAGGTAAGAAGAGAAAGCTTTTGTTTTATATTTCAAGAATAATAGGTGCTAGTAATAGGTGAGAAGTTTGAGAGGCAACAAGCACCTGTCAGAATAGCCCAGTGACAAATTTCAGACAAGGACATTAGCCCAAAGATAAGTCTTTATTCCACCTATAGTTACGTTCATAGTTGTTCAGCTTGGGTCAAAGTAGACTAAACTTTTTAGTCTAAAAATTAAGACGGTCTTAAGTCATTCCTTGTAACTGTCCCCTGGGATACACATTGATTAACCCCAGGATTACCTGTCCCTGACACCCAGATAATCCCAAGGGAACACAGGATTATACACAAGTTGTTTGCTGCCCAAATCAGACATGGTCTTTACACTGCTGACACATGGCATTGGGACACAAATGCTACTGGTAGATGTCTTAGTGAAGTAGATTGGGGTTGGAGGGGGGGGAGGGGGTTATCGTTATATCAACAGGTGCTTGCCAAAGGTCTCCGTGGAGGATCCAGAGATATTTTCTGACAGTCGATCCATCCTCCATTTATCTTTGTCGATCCATCCTCCATTTTTGACCATCTTCTGACAGAAAAAAATCGATGCCTGTCAATGTAAACATGAAAATTTCTGACACTTTTTTCTGAAAGACCCAGAAGATGGCCTCTTCCAACACCCAACCCCAAAGTCTGTCATGTAAGTTGCCTGAGCTAAGGTCTGGGTTTAGAAGTGTTTGATTTGTCCCTTGGTGACTTCAGTTCATTTGTATTGATGATGTATCCATCCCTTGGTATTGATGAGGTATTGATTGGAGGTTGAACCTGTATTGGCTAGGATACCCTACTGGAGGCTCATTTAGTTTGTTTTCATTGGTATGGGGACAAGATATCTTAAAAAGTACTTCATAAATTTTGATGAAATTTACAGGATAGACAAGATTGTTCAGGAAGAAGTAAGGTATTGAATCGTAATATTTTTGATACTTTTGGAGTACTATTGAAGGATATATGAATTATTGTTTTTAATTCTGTGTAGCTATGAAAGGTTGTTATTGTGTTGGTTAAAGATTCTTCCATTTTCTGTCTCATTATACTACAATTTTTCAAATCTGTATGATTGTTCATTTAAGTACAAGTCAGATGCCAGATGTCTTATTGTCTTTCTTTGATGGCTGAACATGTTTTGTGATGTAATTTTGTTGTCAGTGATCTGGTTCATTGCCTTGTAATACCAATATCTCACCTGCTTATTTTACCTGTGTCACTTTTACCTGTCAGTTTGACAAGTGACAAGATAATGTGTAAAAAGCAATATAAAAGTGATACCAGATGTCTTTTTTTTTGTGGAATTTCTTGCTTTGTGAAATGTCATCGTGTCATTTGGATCGAGTTTATTATCTTATTTGTGGTACAAATATAACAAATAAAAGACACATGGATAGATACATGTCTAAAAAGAAGAACAAACTTTTGAATCGTAAATGTGTAATATTTGTCCACATTTTCTAGGTAGGACAGTTGCTTATACAATAAAGTTATAATTCGGAATATTATTGCAGATTTATTAGATTATCTCATAGAACTTATTCACTTTCTTTTGGTGATAAAAAAACCAGAAATATCTCAGGTATTTGATTTATAATTATTGATTTTTCTATTATTTTATTTTGAGATGTTGTTTTAGAGGGAAAATCAGGCTTTGGTTTGAGAGAGAAGTAATATCAGACGTGGAACAGGTGCACTGTTCTTCACACCATTACTTTTCTAATGGCTACTGCATTTACACAGCCCTGTGCAAATTTTAATTTCATTCCTCTCTCTGTGTTGTTGTTGTCGTAAGAAAATACAAACAGACTGCCTTGTTAGAATGTGTCCAGAATATTACCTCATCCTAAAATGGGCTTTACTTTATGAAGGCGAACAATATGGCCTGTTTTCTTCCGTGCTGTTACAGCATCGATTTTTGTCTCCCTTCTCATCGAAACACTTACAAAGTTGACTCGACTGTTTGTGTATGAAATTGCATATGTGAGTCACTTTACAAGGTTGTATTCTTCTTATGGAGTCTTTCTACATGTTTGAAATGAGACTTGTCAATGAAAATCCAAAGTTAAGATGAGATCTAGGGTATAGAGTTACTGGTGGTGTTGGGCTTACTGATGATGAATGTGGAGAGCAGGAAATCAGTTTTCATGGGATACACATAATGAATGTTTGGATGAGATCGGAGAATGTTTTTCTTAAATTTGAAAATATTTCCTTACAGACACTGGTCTCCATTTTGGTCACTTCTAAATGTTTTTCTTTGTATTTGCTTTGAAATACTCTTTTGAGTTAAATTATATCGAATAAATTGAAAGTAATGTGATTATTTAGACATTTTTCAAATTGAAATATACAATGCTTAAATTTGTATCATTTTTTTATTCTTTGAACCAATTTAGTTATAAATAACATGTTTATAATGGGCATTTCTTTCAAACATCAGAAATGTCCACAGAACAAAACCCCATACAAACAAACCCCTTCTTTGTTCTGTGTCTGAAATGTTACCCCAGTGGGCAGGCAGGCAGGCTCATTAGAGACTGACCTCTGGAGAGCTTAATGAATGGACAGGTGAGAGGGGCTGGACACTGGGCATTGTGTCCATCCCTACAGGGTGATGACCCGCTCTATTTAGTAGTCCCAGCAACAGTGCCCCCTGTGCAGGAAACCATCGGGATTAAGTTTCAGAATAATATGGGGAATGTAAATTGTAGACTGGCTGGAACAAGGGATCAGTGCACAAAGCTAATTTGGATGTTTGAGTCTGTGCTGATGCTGGGAATATTTTGTTTGATTCATTTGGACAACTGATGCCCCTTACTGGTCCATAGTGTGTTATTATTGTGATGTGTGTTTCGTCATTGCTGCTGGTTTGCCCTGTTGATGATGGTGATGATGGCGGTGATGACAATGATGTTAAACTGTGATGGGGTATTTAAAGAGCCATTTGTTGGTGAAATTCTGAAAGAATTTTGACAGTAATGATTACGTGTCCATTTTAAGATATATGCATGATAATTACCTGAACATATTTAGCCATTATACCCCAGAGATAAAAAAAAAAAAAAAGAAAACTGATATGATATTGCTTAAATAAAGAGCCTGAGCATCACAATTGTCAGGCGTTTATATACGGAATTTTGAACACGTGGGAAATCAAACATATAGCAAAAGAGAAATAATTGGGGGAAAAAATGCATCTTGAAAATTCCTTGGTGTCCAGTCTATCTGAAATGGTCAAGGGGCCAGTCAACAGATGGATATAGATAAGAAATGGCCAGAGCACACTGGTCAGCAGATTGATCTATGGCCAGAACACTCATTGGTGATAATTAGATTAATTAAGGTGGAAGGCAAACATGTGATTGGAGGCAGGATGTGTGGAGCCCCCTAGGGGAGAGATGAAGCCCTAGTAGTTAATGCATAAAACGCACTCATTCACAGGGAAGAAAAGTTAAGCTGTGGTACGCTACAAGCGATGGATTCTTTTTACAATTAAGGAAATCATGAAGGGACAATTTATAACACAGAATTACATTCTGTACTTTCATGGAAGCTTTGGTTTTCAGTTACAGATATTTAAGGGGCATAACTGCTATAAACCACTTGATAAGACACATGGAATTAATCCAGGATTCTTTTCTAATTCCAGGTATCAAGAAATCAGCTCTGCAGTTTCACTCACTGGAGTGTGGATACATAGAGGGAATACAGGACTTAAATAACTGCTATAGATTGCGGATATTAAGTGGATTTTGACAGTAGAAGATATATCAGAAGTTCCATCTTATACAGACCTGTGTTGGTAGGACATCAAGGTACTTGATTTTGTCTAAAATATATATATATTTTTTGGGGGGTCAGACTAAAATGCTTGAGTGCTAAAGGGTTTGGATACCATGGTAAGATAATGATACTTTTTCCAAGACGAAATTCATTCTCTCTCTCTCTCTCTCTCTCTCTCTCTCTCTCTCTCTCTCTCATTGTTCACTTTGTCAAAGCCGTTGCTTCACTGTATTCTTACTAATCCCTGTTAAATCTAAATAGCCATCATCATTATTGCAGACAGAGAATGGTCTTAGAAAGGCAATTTAGATTGGTCTCTGAATGGCAATTAGTCTCATTTCTAGACTGAAAGAGAAGAGAACTACTACTTGAAGTAGACTGAAAGTTAACAGGAACAAATTCAGACAGTTTTCAAACTTTGTTCAAGGCCTATTTGATGCCACACAGGATATATTAATTGACTTGATTAATCCCCAACCCCAGTTTTATAGATTTGAACTAAAACCTCGGCTCCTGTTTCTCTGTTGAATTTATCACTCCAGCTCTTGTTACAATGTTTGCACTCTTGTCTGTGTTGAAAGTAAAGTTCAGCAGAGTGTTCTATTCACTAGTCATGTTCAGGAATGGCTTTAAGATTACTGGCCAGATACAGTCACGACAACAAGAAACAAATGACCAGGGTTGCAGATCAATCAACGCTAATGTCCTAATGTATTTTGTATAGTTCCGCCAAACCACAGAACTGCTCTTTAATGACCTGGGCAGCAGCCTTCCAGTGTTAATAGAAAACCAATATTGATGTAACAGCCAGGTAATGGCTAATGGGCTTGCCAGCCTGCCAGTAGTTGAATTTCACTGTGTAAATTTACTTCTGGAACATGTTGCTGGCCTCTCAGACAGTAATAATATAACCAGTGTTTCTCTCATTGTCTCTGTTTCTCTCATTGTCTCATTATGGCTGATGGGAGTAAATGCCTGGCTGTTGTCTGAGTGGTGAAGTTTGCGCTAAGTGTCTGTAATGGCGGAACGTCTGGACAGGAGAGAGATAACGAGGTGTTAAAGAGTTGTGAGTACAGAGTGGCAGGGATGTAGTCTAGGAGATAGGGAAGGTGTTAGTATGTTGGATGACCTATCATATTTCATAATTGTGTATTCTAATGTGTTTTTGTTGTTTTAGATTTTCCGTTTAGATTAACGCGGTATCTCTCTGTTACATTCTCCCCCCTCTGCTCCCCCCCCCCCAAAAAAAAAAAAAATAGAATGAAAAGAAGAAATAAAAATTCAGAATAGAATTGACTTAGTGAAATATAGCCAATTCAGAAGTAAAATTAACCATAAATGTTATTTCTTAGATATAATTTTTGATTTTCTGAGAAAGTTTTCCTAAATATTGATTTTCTGAAAAGGGTTTCTCTTCATTTATGAAATTTCATTGCATCACTTTTGGTTTTTCCACATTGTTACGAATAAGGCTATTTCTTTCTTTGAAAGGAACAAGTAATGTTGATGGAAATTTAATTAATTCTGGTTGTGTAATAAGAGTGGCATTGACAGAGGCTGTCACATACACGACTGTTATCAAATTGACTAAAAAAGCAAGGCTTTTCCTGAGCAGCTGCCCTCCAATAAAACAACATATGGGGAGATTATAGGAATTGACACGGACAGAAAAGACACATGGTCAAAGTAGAGATTGAATTAATTGAATGTCCAAGGCCTGGACCCTTCAGCTGTTGGACTTCATTTCTGTCTTTATTTCATTTTCTGTGAGTCATGTTCACACAAGGACAGATTTGGATCCAACTATGATTCAGTTTTTTATATTAAATAAAGTTATATATAGTTCCACAATGTGTCTAAGATAAGTCCTGCTTTGAACATGTTTACATTTCTAAATTCAGAGAGATAATGCAGCCAAAATATCCCCTTACTGTCCTCACTCATCCCTTACCGTCCTCACTCAAACTTATCATTCATTACTACGTAAAACCTTTACAAGTGTTATCCTCTTCCTAGATAACCATCAGCACAACCCTAAAGGATAAAGATTATTAATTATAGGTGTTAGGCCTCGCTTTAATTGGATTTATGCTGCCATGTGATCGTAAATACATCATTAGTGGTCAGGAGGGAGACTCCTGCATACCAGGTATGTTATAAAACATTACCTGGTTGGAATAAGGAGAGGGAGGCTGACTAGCAGGCCTACACCTACTGGAAATATCTTGTTGGTAGATTTTGACGGTAAGGGATTACAGAGGGTCCTGGCTTTCAAAAATTGATGGCTTGTTCTTGTGTTTTTCTGTATTTGCGGATAGGAAGGTATTTTGAAGCACGATGCTTATTGTTTGATATACGAGGTTGTTAACATGTGATGTTTTACTAGTTTTAATGAGTCAAGCTAGAGAGCATTCTAAACCACCTGGCAAAGTGTGAAAACATTAGCTATTATGAAATATATTGATTGGTATGCCTTGTTCACTAACAAATCACCAAACCAGCATTGGTGAAACAACTTTCATTGGCAGAGGTAAAAATGTGGAAAAGTGTTGATTTGCCATCTTCTTGGTTAAGAGGTAAAAAGTTTATGGTAATGAGTCAGCAACTTGGTTTGCCAAAAACACATTTTTATTCCTTGAGTTTTTTTGCAGCGATGTATTAGCAGCCTGTAGCTGGCATAAATCAGTGTAATTGTGGTGTAAGGGCATGTAATATCTGTGACTGGGGAATCAATCTTCCTACAGAAGAGGGTTTCACCAATAAACACGAAACTAGAACTTGGTGTAAACCAAATTTTCATCGGTAATTATATCACTGCAGGGTAGATCTGTAGTGGTTGGCTAAAATTAGTAAACAATTGGTCTGAAACAGTTGCTGTTCCTTTCTTGGCACAAAACAGATGCATTATTTCATATAAAGTTTAAAAGTTAAGACCAATACTCGGTCTGATGTGATTTTGTAGAACTTGTCCCCTGCCCCCTAGGCCCAGGCACTGAGTAGGTCTGATGAGGGGTTTTAGTAGGTGATAAGTAGATAAGTCAGACTAATGTATTGACAGGATGGAGGTGGAGAGAGAGAGAGAGAGAGAGAGAGAGAGAGAGAGAGAGAGAGAGAGAGAGAGAGAGGACGCTGTGGTCAGACGGATAGGTAGGGAGCTATTACAATAGACTGGGTAAAGGTTGTGTTTTAAAGAGTTGAAGGCTGTGAAAAGCTACTTCTGAATCATCATGGTGTGGCAGGCCTGTACCAGCAATTTCAGAAGTTGGGGAGGGGGAGTTGAAAAATTGGGCCATTTCACCCCCTTAGTTGACACAGTTTTAAGAATGGCATAGAACCTACTTGTAGATCCAATGTTGATTCTGAGTCTCGCATTGAGAGGCTTGTTCAATCTAGTAGGTTTTATGATCTGCATAAGACATGTTGCAAAACTTTACACTGAATTTTGAGAAGTTTTCTTTTAGAGCCGAATTTGCCAATTGCCACTAAAGCAGGGCATTAGGCAGGCAATTTTCCAGCTGTCTTTTGGATAACCCAATTTCAGTTTTGGACGGCCAATTAAATAAAAAAGACTTTTCTTATTGAAGCTCCTGTATGGCCTGTCTCAATATGAAAATGGATCTGAACACCTTATTTCAAAATCTTGGATAAACTCCTGCACTGAAGATATTTGTAACGATAGCAGATTCTGCTAGATAAATTCCCTTCCTTTCCTCCTTCCTCCCTTCACCATTCATTTCCTTCCAAGGGCACTTTCAGCAAGAAAAGGCAGTCGAAGTTCCCACATCTGTATCATACCGCATAATACCAGGGCAGAGTAAAAAGGTTGCCAATTCCATTCACTAGTGATTCATGTGGGTTTTCACCGCCAGCTGATTTATACCTAAGTGTCCGCATAAAAGTATTACAGGTAAACGGTGTTAATAATGCTAGATTGGAAGGTAGTCTAGTTTTATGTGCTTGTTTATCTCCCTTCTGTATGGCTTTGTTGATGATTGGGAAGAAACAGGAGCTGGGTGGAGTGAGAGAGGTATACCTGTACATTATGCTTTTATTACCTTGTATTCAATTTATTTATAAAGTCATCTGTTTAAGTTGCACAATAAAAAAAAAAGATGCCAGTATTAGTACAAAAAAATGAATGGTAATTTTGTTATTTTTTCTGTTTAATGGTATGTTACATGGGTAATGTTGGCTGCCATGCATAATTGATATTTAGACACAGGGCCTAAATAACATTTGTGCCTAGTGTACTGTTTAAGCCATAGGAAAAGAAATTGTGAATAGCAGATCAAAAAACTATACAAGATGTTGCAGTGTTCTTGCAGCTGGTACTTCATCATGAATACTTCTGCCAGTTTGGCAATCCTAGAAATGTGTGTGCAATTCCCAGAAGTATATCTGCAATTCCTGAATGTGGTTATATAATTCCTGGAAGAGGCCCAGCAGAATAGTTGTGGTATATTAGTGGGCCATTTCCATGATGTAGTGCTTGTTGTGTTTATGTAATGTTCTTGTTGGGGTTGTTACCAGGTTTTATCTAGGTGGTATAAAAATAGCTGAGAGAGATGTCTGTTGGATTGAACCATACAGCAACATTCATTGATCACTTGGGAAGTTAAAGCATTTTGTTTCTTAGTTTCTTAAATTTTATTGTTATTATTATTATTATATATAGTATTCTTTTTACTTGGGTGTATGCTATGTATAGAAATCATGCCGCCCATTTGGTATAAGCATTCATAGTACAGTTGCCTGAAATATAAATTTTTTTAAATGGTTACTTTTATAATCACAAGAGCTTCATAGTATGCAGATGTGTATGTTCTTGCTTGATTTTTCACTAAGATAGTCACGCTAGTAACATTCTGTACATATCTGACCTTCAGAAATCATCTAATAGTCTGAACACCATTGATTAAAAACTCCTCTTCAATCAGGAGAAGTTCCTTTTGATCAGAGTCCATGGATGAAACAGTTTTGTCAGCCAAGGTGGTGAGAGAAATGTAGCGGCTGGGCACCTATCTGTGGTAAT